TATAATGAAGTTCAGCTGTATAATATGAATTTAAACATGTTCTATTTCTCCCTCCTTCTCAAGCAGAGAACTAAGATGACGATGATCCTCCTGGCCACCCTACACTTGCTCCTGTAAACCTTTCCTCCCATATATGCCCCAGAAAGCAATAGAGAAGTTAATTGGAGCTAGAGGCTGTGCTTCTTTTCTACTTCTCTGTATGAGGGAGTGACTGCTCCCAGCAACATAAAGAATAGCTTGTGATGACTTTGCAATTCAAGTAGCATATTTTTTGAAGAATAGAATCTGTGAAACTGGGAAAGGACTTTCATTACCACAACCAAAATTTTCTGCAGGCCTGGATAGTTCTATGGGAATTTTTAACCAACCACATTTAGAACATGAACAAGTAAAGTTACCAGAATAATCACAAACCACAAGGGAAAGCAGCAACCAGTTTGGTGTTGGGAAAACATCAAGAGGTGATTTACTGTGAAATTTACACCCCAGGCCCATCAGGTACTTGATGGGGTTGCAGTGTTTCAATGTACACATGATAAATATAGGATGGTCAGCACTTTAAAATGGTGGTAAAAGGGATGATGGTCAGCAGTGTTTGATGTGTGTGTCAGGGACAAGTGGTAGCCCTTCATGGTGGAAATAAACATTATTATTATTATACAGGATTTATATAGCGCCAACAGTTTGCACAGTGCTTTACAAAATGAAGGTAGACATTACAGTTACAATACAATTTGGTACAAGAGGAAAAAGAGGGCCCTGCTAGTTAGAGCTTACAGTCTAGGAGGAAGGGTTGAGTGATACAAAAGGTGATAGCTGTGGGGGATGAGCTGATGGAGGAAATAAAAGGCAGCTTACTAGTTGGAAGCATGATAGGCTTCTTTAAAGAGAAAGGTTTTCAGGGATCATCTAAAGGTGGATAGATTAGCAGATAGCCAGACAGATTGGGGTAGGGAGTTCCAGAGGATGGGAGAAACTCGGGAGAAATACTGGAGGTGTGCATGGGAGGAGGTGACATGGGAACTAGAGAGCAGAAGGTCTTGGGAGGATCGAAGAGAGTGGTTTGGTTGATATTTTGAGACCAGGTTGGTGATGTAGCTGAGTTGTGGATGGCTTTGTAAGTTGTTGTTAGTATTTTGAATTTCATTTGTTGGGCGAGTGGAAGCCAGGGGAGGGATTGGCAGAGATGGGTAGCAGAAACTGAACGGTTGGTAAGGTGGATGAGCCTGGCAGCAGCATTCATGATGGACTTGAGGGGGGATAGACTATGTAAAAGTAAGCCAATGAAGAGGGAGTTCCAGTAGTCGAGGCGAGAGATAACCAGGGAGTAGATTAGGAGATTTGTGGTATCATTGGTTGAAAAGGGGCATATTCTGGAGATGCTGTGGAGGTTGATTTGGACAGGGATTGGATGTTGGACTGAAAGGATAATTCAGAATCCAAGGTTATACCTGGCATGCGGGGATGGGTTGGTATTGGTGCTATTGATCCCGACTGAGGAAATCAGGGGAAGAGGCACACAGGGGAGGAAATATTATGAGCTCATTTTGGATAGATTGATTTTTAGGAAGTGGTGTGACATCCAGTCTGATATGTCTGTTAGTAAATCGGTGATACGTGAAGAAACTGATGGGGTGAATTGAGGAGTAGAGAAATACATTTGTGTGTCATCAGCATAGAAATGATATTGGAAACCATGGGAAGCTATCAGCTGACCCAGGGAAGAAGTGTAGATCGAGAATAGAAGAGGTACAAGGACAGAACCTTGGGGGACCCCGACAGTAAGATGAGTAGGAGAGGAGGAAGTAGAGTTGTAAGTGACACTGAAGGTGTGGTGAGATAGGTAAGATTTGAACAAATGGATAGTACAGTCATGGAGACCAAGTAAATAGAGTTTTTTGAGGAGGAGGGGGTGATCAACTGTGTCAAAGGCAGCAGAGAGGTCCAAGAGTAAGAGTACAGAATAGTGACCTTTGGTTTTAGTGGTTAGTAAGTTGTTTGTGAGTTTTAGGAAAGCGGTTTCTGTGGACTGTTGTGGGTGAAATCCAGACTGAAGGGGATCGAGAAGGTTATTCTCAATAGGGTGGCCGCTCAGCCGGTTGTAGACTAAACAGCTGCTCTTGTTCCTCAAGCAGGCTATTTTCAACAGGGTTTCCAATTCCATCAACTTCCCTCTCTGCTTCTCTCCCCAGTGAAAAAATGAGTTTTATGGAAATGTCAAACAAAAGCATATGAGGGGTGTTCAAGTCAAACCGGGACTTTTGAGTTTATATATTAAAAGAACAAGTTTCAACAAGAACAAGTTTTGGAAACTGCATTTATTTTTTTTACATACTCCCCGACTACATTTATACACTTATCCCAACATTTAACTAATGCCTGAAACACTTCGGCAAAGAAAGATTTGTCAGTATGCTCAAACCATCCCAGGAGAGCCTGCTTCACTTCGTCATCATTGTGTTCACCGTTCCCACAAAAAGATTAATCTCTTGTGCACTTTCACAACAGGTTATGCATCAATTATCCAGAATCAGACATTCCACATGCTGAATGTTCACAGGAATGACTGCTTTGGGCTGGGAACCACCACGGCTGGGATTGTCACTAACGGATGTACGGCCATCTTTGAAACATTTACACCATTCAAATGTCTTACAGCGGCTGAGCGTCTCATCACCATACTTTGCTTGAAGTCTTCTGTAGATATCCTTGGGTTTTATGACTTCATTCACAAGAAACTTCATCCTCATCCTCACACGCTGTTCTATGCATGCACTAACATTGTCTGCCATCTTGATTAATGGTCTCTGGACTGGACTGCGTCATGTGCACTATCAGTAATAGGACACACTTGCCACTTGCCACTTGCTACTGCATGTCGTACCACCACGCTAGCATCCCTTTTTATACCTGTGAAATTAAAAGTCCTGGTTTGACTTGAACACACTTATATTACAAAATATTTACATTAGTAAATTAAGTTTGGCTTGTGGTCAAGTAAACTCACACAGAGCCTGAGATCTTTCCTTGGCTTCTACTACTCATGCACTGTAGCTAATTTTTCATCTCTATTACTTTCCTATCCTAATTCTGCCTCTGCCTAACCTGTCAGAACTTCATTATGTACCACATAGCTGTTAGGTAGGCATTCTACTTAAAGAGTAACTCCACTTTTGTTAAGAAAACAATGTATGTACATTGCATGGGTTTTAACAAAGAAAACAATGTATGTACATTTAATGGGTTTTAACAAACTTTATTGCAGATTCCTATCTTTTGTTATTCTGAAGAGAGAGATGTCTTTTAGTCTGTGTCCATGTGCAGAGTGAACCTGTATGGGAGTGACTTCATAATTATCTATCAGCTGCTGCACTTGCAGGGCTCTAATGAGGAAAGTGGAAGGGTCATGATCCCTTTAGACGTGATTTTCTATTGGGAGTATCTCACCAAAATTTACATTTTTGTTGCAAGGGATGACTGAAATCTAACTTGCATCTTAGTGCAGACTTCTGGGAAAATCAGTAAGCCAATCACACAAGCAGGAAATGATGTTTCTGGGGGGCGTTCTATAAACATTCTGTGTACAGAACACCTCCAGGTATCCATATTGCATTGCATTTGCAGAAAATTACAGTGGCTGCAGATTGAAAAGGAAAAGTAATTTTTAATAACATTCAATTACAATATGACTTGTGTTGCAATTGTATAAGATATATATTTTTTTATGTGCTTTTTTACCACAAAAGTGGAATAACCTTTAACATAAAAAAAATGCAGCTGCCAAAAAAAATGCAGTCTATTGGTGGTATTACTGTTCTTGTGACAGCAGCAGGCCACCATTCCTTTACAGCTCTGCTTTGTGTTTCACCCTTTACTGATTTCTCTCTCTTCAACGCACTGAAAATGGGAGCTTCAGCTAGATCCTATATTTTAATTTATCGGCATGCCAATACATATGTCTTTTGCTGAATGGCTCTGGCTTAGAGCTGGAGGACCAAATGCTAACTATCATGTGGGGACCCAGCAATCACTGAAAAAGGGCAGGTTAAATGTTTTCGCCTCTGGCAAAATGTCTAGGTCTGCATCAAATTGTTTCAGGTGACACAATTTGCTTATTTCTATCCAATATCATAAAAATCAGCTAGAATTTGTTTGTTTTTTTACCATTCGTTCTGTTGTGCTTGTGTCTAAATAAAGATGGTTTATGAAAACAGGAGATCATTGAACAATAGGTCTTATCCAGTTTAATCAGCTATTCACATTCTTGCCTTCAAGACTTTTTTTTTGCGTTTTTCAGCTGTAAAATTTTCTTTCACATGCTATCCAACACTTAGTGTTCCTTCAAAAATTTAAGCAGACCCTGAAACACAGCATACAGTATATCCTAAGCTGAAATATACTCTTCAGCTACTGATCCAGAGCTACAAAGTACACCTTGTCACCTTGTATGGAAGTTAAATAATGCTTTGGGTTTTAACCTGTTATCTTGTATCTGTTTTTTTAGGGGGGGGGACCTCTACATTTGTATTACTAATCTAACACAGTACATCACATTCTGTGAATGAAGGAAGAGCAACTGAATGACAGAATCTCCTCTGAATACGATGCATTGTGGAAGTGCAGTCATATTAGCAATCTGCTCAGGACAGTATCTGGCAGCTGTGAAGGAGACACTTCAGGGATGACTTTTACCAGAAGCAGCCATCTGCATGTAATGGAATACAAACCGATACACATAACTAATGTGTTTAGTGCCGCATCTAAAAAAAACGAAACAAAAAACTTTAAGAGTGTCCTAAAGAGAGAGCACATCAGAAACTGATGTTACATTCAGACTTTGATTGAAACTACTTACACAAGCATATTTTAAAGTTCTCAAGAAAAGCAGTGAATTTGTTCAAGTTGGGTCTCAGCACACTGCTCTCCCTTCTTCCTGAGTACCTGCTGTGTGTAAACATTACAAATTGGAGAGTTTGCAGGTTGCCAATCACACACACACACTATATTGCCAAAAGTATTGGGACTCTACCCCTCCAAATCATTGGATTCAGGTGTTCCAATCCCTTCTGTGGCCACAGTAATATAAAATCAAGCACCTGGGAATGCTGACTGCTTCTACAAATATTTGTGAAAGAACGGGTCGCTCTCAGAAGCTCAGTGTATTCAAGCGTGGTACCGTGATAGGTTGCCACCTGTGCAATAAGTCCATCCATGAAATTTCCTTGCTACTAAATATTCTACGCTCAATTGTTAGTGGTATTATAACAAAGTGAAAACAATTAGGAACAACAGCAACTCAGCAACAAAGTGTTAGGCTGTGTAAAATGACAGAGTTGGGTCAGCGCATTCTGAAGCGCACAGTGCACAGAAGTCGCCCACTGTCTGCAGAGTCAATTGATAAATGCCTCCAAACTTCATGTGGCTTTCAGATTAGCACAACAACAGTGCATAAAGAGCTTCATGGAATGGGTTCCCATGGCCGAGCAGCTGCATCCAAGCCTTACAACACCAAAGCGTTGGATGCAGTGGTGTAAAGCACGCCGCCACTGGACTCTAGAGCAGTGGTGACGTGTCTGGGTTTGGCAGTTGCCAGGAGAACAGTACTTGCCTGACTGCATTGTGCCAAGTGTAAAGTTTGGTGGAGGGGGAATTATGGTGTGGGGTTGTTTTTTGAGAGTTGGACTTGGCCCCTTAGTTCCAGTGAAGGGAACTCTTAAGGCGTCAGCATACCAAGACATTTTGGACAATTTCATGCTCTCAACCTTGTGGGAACAGTTTGGGGAAGGCCCCTTCATGTTCCAACATGACTGTGCACCAATGCACAAAGCAAGGTCCATAAAGACATGGATAAGCCAGTTTGGGGTGATGAAACTTGACTGGCCTGCACAGAGTCCTCACCTCAACCCGACAGAACACCTTTGCGATGAATTAGTGGGGAGACTGTGAGCCAAGCCTTCTCATCCGAAACAATGCCTGACCTCACAAATGCGCTTCTGCAAGAATGGTCAAGCATTCCCATAGACACACTCCTAAACTTTATGGACAGCCTTCCCAGAAAAGTTGAAGCTGTTACAGTTGCAAAGGGTGGGCCAACTCACTATTGAACCCTACGGACTAAAACTGGGATGCCATTACAGTCCATGTGCGTGTAAAGGCAGGCGTGGCATCCCATTATTTTTGACAATATAGCGTGTGTGTGTGTATATATTGTGACAGTATGAACGGCAAAATGATGGATGGACGATATGTGTCACCTCGCATGAGATCATATTGTGAGGTGTAAGGTGGAGTCCACTCCGGGTTTTCGGGGCCACAATGGCAGAGGTGGTTCCGGACCAGAGTTTGGGCTCCACTGAGGTCCACCAACAGGTGATACAAAAAGGGCAGGGCTGGAGCAAGGAGTTGCTCGTGGCCTGGGACTCAGAGAGGTATTCTGAGAGAGCTGTGTGTATGGACTATACCTGGAAGAAAAGGTTTGCTGTTACTTTGTTTTGGTGACAGGGAGAAGCCCTTCACCTCTGAGAGAGGAATCATCTGCTGTTTAGTTAGTGCCTGGATGGCAAGGGTTTATTTTGATGTTTTGTTTATTTTGATATTTCTTGCAAACCTTTTTAATAAAACTGACATCCAGTCAGATTTTGACGAAAGCCTGCTGTGCGGTCTACCTTTGTCCCAGGGAAGGAGATCCCCCACCTGAGCTAACCCCACAATATATATATATATATAAAATCACTATATTGCAAAAGATATTGGGACACCCCTCCAAATCATTGGATTCAGGTGTTGCAATCACCTCCATCGCCACAGGTGTATAAAATCAAGCACCTAGGCATGCAGACTGCTTCTACAAACATTTGTGAAAGAATGGGTCACTCTCAGGAGCTCAGTGAATTCAAGCATGGTACCATGATAGGTTGCCACCTGTGCAATAAGTCCATCCGTGAAATTTCCTTGCTACTAAATATTCTACGCTCAACTGTTAGTGGTATTATAACAAAGTAAAAGCAATTGAGAACAACAGCAACTCAGCAACAAAGTGTTAGGCTGCATAAAATGACAGAGTTGGGTCAGCGCATGCTGAAGCGCACAGTGCGCAGAAGTCTCCAACTGTCTGCAGAGTCAATAGCTAAAGACTTCCAAACTTCATGTGGCCTTCAGATTAGCACAACAGTGCGTAGAGAGCTTCATGGAATGGGTTTCCATGGTCAAGCAGCTGCATCCAAGCCTTACATCACCAAGTGCAATGCAAAGCATCGGATGCAATGGTGTAAAACACGCCGCCACTGGAATCTAGAGCAATGGAGACGTGTTCTCTGGAGTGATGAATCACGCTTCTGAAATGCACGATTCTCAAATGCACTTCTGGAAGAATGGTCAAAAACAGTCCCATAGACACTCCTAAACCTTGTGGACAGCCTTCCCAGAAGAGTTGAAGCTGTTATAACTGCAAAGGGTGGGCCAACTCAATATTGAACCCTATGGACTAAGACTGGGATGCCATTAAAGTTCACATGCGTGTAAAGGCAGGTGTCCCAATACTTTTGGCAATATAGCGTGTATATATATATATTCATTTATTTTTTCTGTCTGTGCTCTTGATGCAGATATTTACCCTTTCTATATGTTCTGGTGATCAGTGCTATGGTGCCGAAAGTGATGGAAAAGTCAACAATTTTGAGATGTCATAAGGAGAGAAGATAACATTTTAGTCATCTTGTACATTGTCATAGGAGATGATAACATTATCTAAATCATTGAAAATGAACAATTGATATGTTGGTTGTAGAGCAATGTGTGGCTTTATCCATATCCACATCCCTTTTTATACTCTACCCAAAACAATATGCTTATTTAATGAATGACTGTCAATGATGCACATGTAATAGCAAAAGTCATTACTGAATCCTTCTGCTATCTCAGACATCTATTTATTCCTAGAATTCACAACCAATTCTGTGGAGATTTACTAAACCTGATGCACTCAGGATATGGTGTAGCAGTGCATGGCAGCCAATCAGCTTCTAACTCTAGCTTGTGTAATTAAACTTTTACAATAAAACCTGGAAGCTGATTGGTTTCTATGCAGAGGTGCACCAGATTATGCATGCTGCATTTTTAGTAAATCTCCTCCTATGTGCAGTATACAATTTTTGCTGGAACTGACAGTGTACATTCATTGTTCTGTATGCAGCTGACTCATATTGTGAAGTTGATGTGAGAGAGCTATATTTTCAAGATGGATATTGGATTAAGTGTGCAGCAGATCTAGAACCTTGCTAACGTTAAAGGTTACACGAAGTGATGAATTATTCAGATTTTTATGGTGTTAGTTTTGTTTCTTTCCTCCACTATGGTGACTCTGCAGACAAAATGATGGATGAGGTCTCTAAAAGACTTAGAAGAATATTTTTATCATAAGATTGTGATCTTATATGTATTGACATGGTATCTGTTTGGGAGTATTTATATAATCTACTGTCTAGATATTGCATTTTTATTTTCCTTAAAAAATAACACAATTGTATATATAATGTATTGTATTTTTTATTATATTCCGGGCCAGGTATATACTTCTTTTTCCTGGGTCAGCTACCAGAAGGTACTGTATGTCTAGAACGAAGCATATCTGCCTGAATCTGTTGTAAAGCCAGGGCTTTTTTCTCAGATAATAGGTACAGGTACTCCCCGCCTTCTGAGCCACCTTTTGTCTCTGTCCCCTACCCTCCTCTGAGGACCGCCCCTCGATTCCACCCCCTACCCATAACCCAGTACCGCCCCTTTTAAAGAGTATAGAAACAAATATAATTTTAAGTTTAAATTGAAGTGGAATTTAATGATAACAAGAAAAGCAGTAAAATAGATCCCCCACAGCCAGCAACAATAGACTCCCCCCAGTAACAGCGGACACCCACAACAAAATACCACCCCAGCAACAATAGATCCCAGCATCAACAATAGATCACACAGCAGCCAGCATCAATGGGGTCTCCAGCAGCCAGCAATAGACCCCTCCCTCAACAGTAGATCCCTTCCAACAACAATTGACCCCAGAAACATAAGCCCCCCCCAAGCAACAATAGACCTCTCCAGCAAATATAGACTGCCACATGAAAATAGATCCCACCAAGCAACAATAGATGCCCCAGCATCCAGCATCAATAGACCCTTCAGCACACCCCAGATCCCCTTGCAATTACTTTACGTACATTCAGTGCCGGAGTTGCTGGAACTGCGTTCCCCTAGTTTCCACTGAAAAAAATTCCTGTGTAAAGCACTGTGCGAACTGTTGCCACTATATAAATCATGTTATTATAATGATAATAATCTGTTGAAATGCCTTACAAGTGCACAGCACAGGTTTACTTTTGCATTCTTCTTTCCTTCTCCAGTTTCTATCCCCGTAACAGGATGCACAATCGACTGAATGATCAGAAAGGAACTGTAACTTTCAGTTCACTAAGCAAGTGCAAAGTTAGAATCAATAATGCAAAACATAGAATGGCAAAGAGTATACGTATACTGGAGACTAATGCATAATAGAATACGAAAGTTGCAAAACATGGACTCTTCACAGCAATGTCTCTGTAGTTCACTCTGGGTAATGTAAAGCACAATCTCCATAAGACTCTATAGCAACAGAGATCCTAGCTGAGAATAACTACGTAATACTGTTGTAAAGGCACAATTTACATTTTTTTTTAAAGAGAATGGTTTTGCACAGAGCAGCCTCGATCCTCCTTTCCTCTGGTCCCCCACCAGGGCTCCTGGTCCCTCCCCCCTGCCAAATACCCTTATAACAAGCTGCTTGCTATGGGGGCACTCATGCATGCTCATTCCCAAGCCAGCTCTGTGTGTCCATTGACACACAGAGCGCAGCTCGGCCGCACCCCTGCTCTGTCCTCCTTGGCTGTAGTTGACAGCAGCAGAAACCAATGGCTCCCATTGCTGCCTCTCTGGCAAATGTACTTTTACTATACGCATAGCACTATTAGGTCCTCTAGGAAACGGCCGCTGTTGATTGTATGTGTCCATCTATGCACGGCTCCAGTAAAATAGCAACTGTTTTATTACAGAGGTGTGGTTTCCATGGTGATAGTTTTGCATGCAAGGTGTGAGGCTAGTACAGGCCTTTCTCCCCTGATGAAGTCACATGACTTATTGACGAAACGCGTACACTTGGAACAGGGCGGTTGGTGATTGTGGCATAAACAGAAAGTCATCCTCTCCATTTTCCTTCTACGACTGCTGAAAGCCGGCTTCTCTTTCTCCTGGCATTCAGCGACTGCAGAAGGAAAATGTTCATTATGCTATTCAAGATAAAAAAAATGTGAAATGCTGAACCATTTCACTTCATTGTGGCCTGCGATCGGTTTACAAATCCCTAAGTGGCACTCGCTCTTCAAAAGGTTGAACACCCCTACTATAGAGAATGCTAAACTATAATCTCTACTATCCATATACTCTATGTAGCAATGATAAGTTGTCTCATCAGTCTGGTCTCAAATCACTAGAATGTTTTCTGCAATCTTTAATAACAACTTATGTAAACTTCCTTGTCAAATGAAATAGACAATCAGGTGACAGTGATGGCTTATCTTGACTGCTCAGTGGTTCCTGAAATTATTGATAATAAAAAATGATGTTAATGTCAAGGTATAATTAAAGCCAAAACTTTCTTTTTTTTAGTTTTGGACAGAGGGGAGATGAAGTTGAACATCTATTAGATTTTTATTGCCATCTGTGTCCCCGTTAGGGTGATTCATCCCAGTGGCATCACTAGGATTGGTGTCACCTGGTGTGGTAAAACATGGTGTCACTTCCCCTCTGTCTAGCCTGCCCAATGCCCTGCAGGGGCAGCAGTGCACAGCCACAGGGCGCATCCCAAACAGTGAACCAATCAGTGCGCTGTCACTGATGGGGGGTGATAACATCATGGTCGGATATCACTCCCTACTTAATGGTATCACCCGGGCTTGGACAGGTATAAAAAATAGGCCCGGGCATTTTAGACAGAGCAGCACTTTATTTTTTTCTTCTAAACCAAAGTACAAATAATGACTACTGGTTTCATGTAATGTAATTGGGTAACTATGTGGTAAATGAGGTTTAGTGTTGATAAATGTAAGGTTATGCACTTGGGGGCTAAGAATATGCATGCATCATACATACTAGGGGGGGGGGGTACAACTGGGGGAATCAATGGTGGAGAAGGATCTGGGAGTTCTGGTAGATCACAAGCTTAATAATGGCATGCAATGCCAAGCTGCGGTTTCTAAAGCAAGCAAAAAGAAGGTATAGACTCCAGAGAGAGAGATATCATATTACCCCTGTACAAATCATTAGTAAGACCTCATCTGGAATATGCAGTTCAGTTTTGGGCACCAATTCACAAAAAGAACATTGGGGAACTAGAGAAAGTAGAGAGAAGGGCAACCAAACTGATACGAGGCATGGAGGAGATCAGCTATGAATTTATTCTCTCTTGAGAAGAGGAGATTAAGAGGGGATATGATCTCCATGTATAAATACATCATTGGTTCATATAGTGAACTTGGTGTAGAACTTTTCACCGTGAGGTCATCACAGAGGACAAGGGGGAACTCTTTACATCTGGAGGAAATGTAATTTCCAAACATGGAAAGGTTTCTTCACAGTGAGAGCTGTGAAAATGTGGAATAGACTCCCTCAAGAGTTGGTTCTGGCCAGCTCAGTGGATTGCTTTAAAAAAGGCCTGGATTGTTTCTTAGATACACAGAATATAACTGGATACTAACATTTATAGGTAAAATTGATCCAGGGAATATCCGATTGCCTCTCGGGGGATCAGGAAGGAATTTTTTTCCCAGCAGGAGCATATTGGATCATGCTTTGCTGGTTTTTTTTTTTTTTGCCTTCCTTTGGATCAACTGTGGGTATAGGATTATAACTTTTTTCTTTTTAATGGTTGAACTGGATGGACTTTTGTCTTTTTTTCGGCCAGACTATCTATGTAATACTTACCTGCTCTGTGTAATGGTTCAGGAAACAATGCAGCACTCTCTTCTTCTCTTCAATCCCACACTCCTGGCCTCCAAATGATGTCATGCTAGTGGGACTAGGAAACTCCCAGGGAAGTGACTGTTTAGAAAGACTTGTGCCAGCCGGGTACAGGAGCACGCTGGGCACACTTGCACAGCTCTGCTGCAGCTCTGCAAGCAATAGTACAGTATGTAGTGGTGGCCCCGGTGTCACCCCTCTGGTGGGTGTCACCCGGATGCAGTTAGCACCCCCATAGTGAAGCCACAGATTCATCCTCCCTATTTGTCCTCTTTATGATTGAAAGTGAAAGTAAAAAT